GTGGTCGTCGTCGTCGTCGTCGTCGTCGTCGTCGCGATACACGTGCGTGCACACATGCCCTTTTTCCGCCCGCGTCGTCGCGCGTCGTTAGAAAATTCAGACGCGCGTTTACGCGTATATATATGCGCGGGTACCGTGAATGAATAATAACAAGTCTGTAACACACACGCGAGAATATGTACGTAAGTCTCGGAGCGGTGACCAGGAGAGAACTCGCGAACTCGCCCCGCCGTTTTCTCGTCCCTCGTTCGATCATCGATCGCGTGAAAATCGTTACAACCTGCGCGCGATGCGACGAGCCAAGTTAAACGAAAGTTCAATGAAACGAGTGGAGTCTCCCGACTGGCTAGAGAATCAAAGATGCGATATTACACATGTATTTAACGTGTCGAAGGTATGTGAAACGCAACCCGAACGTGTACCTGGTCATTTTTCTCGCAATAAAACGCACGTGTATCTCTTCCCTCTAGATTCGTGCCGGTCATTTTTGTCCATACGAAGACACAGACCTCCAAGAAACATTACGTTCCAAAGACGTTCCAAAGAATAGAGGAACGTTCTGGGAATGTCCTCAGAACGTTCTCCGCAGAATGTCCTTAGGTAGGACGTTCCCTCGGATCAAGTCAATTTTACGTCACCGTTGTTTCCCTGTCAAGCTGTCAAGCTGTCAAGATGAAGATTTTCGTGATCGTCGCCGATCTGTTTGCGTCTCCGCGTTTTACAAAAAGGGCCCCGGGTGGCGCGAGAGGCGCAAAGAGCGGCGTCCACAAGAGAGATGGGATTTTCGGTGGATCGATGATCAGGGTACATCAATGGCGGGCCGAGCCGATGTGCGCGGCGCCAACATCATCGAGGTTGCCCGGGCCGGCGTTTCGGGTTGCCCCGCGCCATCGGTGAGTGTGCGGACCCACGCGCGGCTGACGGTGCCCCGTAGTGAGTACATATAGATATACACATGGCAATCTCTCACAAGAATTAGTCGCTATCGTTATCAATTAGTATCCATTATTAATTAATAGTCAATCAAGTACCGCACGAACAAATTCGCAAGTTAATCGGCAATAATAATCGTACTAATAATGATATAATAATAGGGTAATAACGCAATAATAATGATAATAATAATAATAATAATTATGACAATAGTAATCGCAATAGTGGTAATAATTGCAATAATAGTCACAATAGCAATCAATAGAGTTAATAATAAATAGACACGTTCAACATATTTCGTAGAAACTCAACGAGAATAAAAAAATGAAAAACTTTGGACGATCACACCGTAGCGTTTTCCGTCGTCGAACGGTTCTACCGACGCGATATATTCCGACCGTTTGCTCGTCGAGCATGACACGCCCTGGGTTATTGTTACCGAGTTCATGAAAGTATATAATAGGAGCTCGCAAATTGTTTCAACACCGTCACCTCTCTCTTCCGCGTCGAGCGAAAAGGTTCTCTAGTAAAAATGCGTCCTCGATGGATCCTCGCGATCGATCGCGTTCGCGTCTGCGAGAAGAGAGAGAGAGAGAGAGAGAGAGAGAGAAAGAAAGAGAAAGAGAGGAAAAAAGAGGGATTATCGATCGTTGGCAACGCGAGGGTGTTTGCCGCGTGTCGACGGAAAACGGCGTCGGCGACGTCTCGGCCGCGCTTAATTCTCTTCCGCAACGCAGTAATATATATATGTATATAGCATTCGTTTCCTCATATCGTTCTCGTATCGTTTAGCTCATCACTCCATTACATAATCCGCGCACACTTATCATTCACTCATTGTTGATTTTTAGGAACAGCTAGCGAGGTTCGGTTACTCTATCACGCAATCTCCGTACTCGAAACTCAAAACGCCAAAACCGACGCGCCGGTTTTGCGTACACGCGCACGTACGTAGCCGCGTTTTGAGACTCACGCTCATATGCGATGTGTAGCTCCGAGTTTATACGTAAAATTCCATTTCAGTATGTATGTGTGTGTGTGTTGTGTTTTCGTTTGTTGTGTGTGTGTGTGTGCGCACGTATGTATGTCCGTCAATCTGTCTGTGTACGCGTGTTTTAATTCGTGTCAACGAATATTACGGGTCCTCACAACGCGTCGCTCTCCTCTGTCTCTCGCGAGCAAATTAAAAAAAAAACTAAGATCGCGATGGATACCGGCCAAAGCGCATCGTCTTGTGCGTTTTCAAGTGCATTCTCTCACCTCTCTATGACTTTACTATACGTATGTAGGAAACGCGGCGAAGGGAAATAAATTTCGCTTCTCTCTCACAGTCTTAGCGCCGCGGTTTTCAAACCCCGGGTGCTTTTTTTTTTGTTTGGAACATCTTGCCCCGTGCTAGTGGTAGTGATAGAGTTATCGTTTGCAATGATCCTGAAGACAGTAAGGATTTGCGGTCGCGCGATTCCGCGAGGTTCGTCTTAATTAATTCTACGACTTGATCACACCCGTTAATTGTCTTATTTTGCGAGGTATCGGTTTATATTATGAAGAGAGATTCCGCTCTGGGTTTCTTTTTTTTTCTTTTTTTTTTCCTTTTGTCCCGGTACGTCCTGTAAAGGTGGATCGTGCCGGTCGGAAAGACGATCGGCTGAAAATTTCGATATTTAGCGATTCAATTAAGTAGCGGTACAAGAGTGCGAGTATGTGTGTGTATAGAGATGTAATGCGCGTGTATATGTGCACAAATGTCTCGTGTGGTGTCATTTTTTTTTTTTTTTGGAACGTGTGTACCTGTGTTAAAAATGTACGCTAGTTCAACGCTGTAACGTTTATATAGATAATAATCAATACATGACCACATATATGTAAATATAATATCGTAATCTATAATCATAATAATAATAATAATTCAAATATAATATTAATAATCGTCGTTACCAACGTTTTATGTTAGAAAAGCATCTTTTGCAGACAGGAACCTCGAGAGTTGCTTAGTACCTTAGAAATAGTTATTACTTCGCGTTTTTTTTTTTTCGTTTGATCTCAACGACCACGTATTTTTTTTAATGTCCTCGAATCTCAGACCCCCTCCTCCGCCTCCTCCGAGAGCCCCCTTTACCCCCAGAGACGCGAACGCGCCAATTCGTCAGTGCATCTGTCCTGCCCCCCCCCTTCCCCCACATCCGCCCTTCGTTTCACGCGATTAACCTTTGTGGTTTTTGTTTTCCTTCGGTATACTCTTTTTATTCTTTTTTTTTAACCTAATGATTCGCGTAAATTCAAGAAGATGGCGGCACGTAAAACGCCGCGATACCTTTTCTCTTTTTGCGCTTATTTTTTTTTCTTTTGCACTTCCGGTGGCACTTCCGGCATTCTGTTAGCTTCGCATACGCGCCGCATTTGTATGCGCGAACTTTCGTTTCTTCTAGAGTGAGCTTCTAGAGCGAGGAACACGACGTACGTACGCGTGTAGACACGTCACCGTTCCGGATAGTATCCGCGAGGATATTCTAGTACGTCACAACATCATATATATATAT